AATTTAACATGTGATGCTCGCATTTTGTACGATTCGCCTCGCCTCTGCTTATTACGCGCCGATAATTTATGAATTCCCGGAGTAATGTTGACGAGGCCACCGTGTGATTTTGAATAGGAGATCGACGCGAGTAATCAGTGGAATGGCACGTTCGATTTTGGAAAAGACCCCAATGTTATTCAAAGTGATGATCTTGTGAGAGCAATGGCGCACCACTTTGCATTTAGATTCCGCAAAATTAATCACTGTACTTTTGCATGAGCTTTACAAAGTTTGAATTATTTTGCAATGCCTCGCCTGATGAACATGCATTCAAAGTGACGTCAAAATTGTTCCTCTCCGGCTGCTCGCTCCAAGTCTCTCGTTCAAAAGATGTGTTTCATGTATAAATTTGAGCGATCAAGATGAGCTTAAACGAAACATATATTTAAGGTCTTCAAGTGTTCTTCGTGAAACTGAAATTCGAGAGCGATTTTAAATAACGCGTCGTCAATTAGCTGGGCATTCAATGACTTTCGAGCATTTGTTGAAAAGAAAGAGACGAAATGGACGAAAAGTTCTCATCTCGCGTACTTCCAAGAATTATTCCTATGAGTCGAGAAAGAGCCGCGGCTGCAGGCATGAATTAAGAACGCTCAGCGGCGACGTCGCTATTAATCTTGACAAAAGCGCGTCTCGACATGCCGCAAAAACAGTATCAAAATCCAGCAATTAAAAGCGATCGCGGGAGCCCCGAGCTCTCGTCAAGCTTGCCAGCGCGGCGCTGCAAATTCCCGCTCGTAATGCACAGCCGCACACGGCACCTCCGGGATCGTCGCGGGTGAGACTTAATGCAATTCGCCGCACAGACTGATTCCTCGCCGTCGCCCCCTTATATCTCTTCTCGCCCTCCGCGCGTCTCGCTGGCGCGCGCGCGCGCGGCCGCATAATTAAGCGAGTTTTAAAGCCCATCGACGCCGCCGTTATATAATCCCGGCTCGCGGAATCACTTGATCGCTGTAATAACGACGCGAGCGGCCTTTTCGAGAATGCCGAGGACTTTTGAGAAAATTGTCAGAGGCAGCGTGAGAGCCGCGATAATGGAGAAAAGGCATAGCTCAAGCGATGTGTGTCGAGTGCTCGCGCGCGACAAAAGCGCGCACGAGTGCGGCGCCGCCCGCCTGCACCTTTCCCTTTAATCTCGCGCCAGTCGACATTTGTATGTTCCGGATGCTTGAATCGACCGTTCATTGCGCCAAATTATCAGCCTCTCCGCGACTCCCTTCTTCTCTCGCTTCTTCGCCACGATATTCCGCAGTTCTTATACTTCTCTCTTCCGTCTGATCGCGCCGATGGTTTAATCTACTTGCACACTCGAGCGCTCGGCATGCTAAACTCTTTTGTCGTTTATTCGAGTTGCTTGGGGTGACACAGCCGCGCACCGAAGTCGCGGGGACTGGCAAAAGTTTTGTTCTACCAGGGCGCTCGTTATCGGCGCGTGCGCCACTGTTAATTGCCGGAAAATTAACTTATTGACTGTAGATCGAAACGCTCAATGACTATACGTATCACTCGCAGAGCAACCGCGCTATAACCTACGTAATAATTAGTCTAGCAGCTTAATTACGCTATAGAGGCGCAAACGAGCGCGAAGAGCTTTGTAGGTTATTAACCGTGCGTATATACCTATACATACAGTGCTAACACGTTTGCCGAGAGCAAACTTTTTACTTGGGCGCGGCGCGCACGTACGCCGCGCGCTTATAAACTTTTACGTTGTATAAGAATCAACGTCGGCGAAATTTATCCCCGACACGCGCCCAACGATGTTTCAGCGCTGTCGGATAACAAAAATACAATTAATTTGCCTGCCGGCAGCGAATTAAACGACACGTTTAGCCCACCGCAGTTCGTTCAATTGATCGAAGCCGAGCTCGGCTTGTGGCGCGCGCCAACTCCCGGGCATCCTCGAGCGCTTTTCCTAAGTAATAACCGAAATTTTCAGCGTTTTCACGGCCGCTGTTGAACGAACGAACGGGGAAAAAGGGCGCGGCATCTGCGCACCCCGCCAACATCTCTCTGGAGGCATATCGCTTTTCTTGCGCGCAAATTTGAATAACGCACGTCGTGTATTATTCATAGCCCGTTGTTTTTTCGCGAAAGTGGATCGTGCGCACCGGAGTACTCGTCTGTGTGTGTGTGTGCGCGCGCGCGTGTGTGTGTGTGTGTGTGTAAGGGACAACTGCCCATTTCTCTTTTGATTCGCCGCGAGAGAAATACCAATCACGACGGCAGGAGTTTGCCGTACGATTGTTCTCTTTTCATTCTTCTTCCTTTGCTTCTTTGTCTAATACCTTCTGTATCACTGAAAAGATACCAATAATTTTTTACTCACTGGAGAAGCTCAGCGATCATTTTGTGGGTGAATTTTTACAGCATTATATACATGCGCACGTAAATCCAATGCGTAGACACTTGACCGATGAAAAATGAAAAGCAAATCCTGAAAAAGAGGCACCATACCATATCCTGTTGTTAGTCTGCGCGCACGCTTATGTGCGTGCATTAGCTAGCAGAGCTTTGAATAGTCAAATGAGGAGAAGTTAGTGCGCAGAGCTTATTTATCGCGTAACGTGTTAGGCGTTGAAGGAATAGGTAACGCGCAAATTATACGGCTACGTGACTCTCGGCGCTCTTTCATTCTCTCTCGCTCGCGCGCAGAGTAATATCTCCATCGAGCAATTACCCAAGCTCGACTCCCATGCTCGCGCGGATGATTAAAGCTCCACTATCCACCTTCAACCGCGGATATTGTTTCCCGGCCTTAGTCGCTTATTAACGGTCTGCTCGCTTCTCTCCCCTCACCCCCTCCACCTAATAAGTCATTCTCGCAAGACGGCAACAGAAGAGGGAGAAAAGTTCGAGGCAAGTCAACGACGACGACGACGACGACGACGACGACGACGACGACGACGAGAGAAGAAGCTTCATTATCCGAGGCGCATGCATCGGCTAGCACTCCGCGGCTCTTTCGCATGAGTTTCTCCAAGATCTATTGTACCAAAGTTCTGTCAGCTTTTGTCAGAGCAATGAGTTCTGTTTGACTTTCCGTTGCGCCGCCGATTTTTCACCTCTCCGTTCGCAAGCGAGCGTGTTACCGAAATGGATCGTTGCGTAACTGGCACAGACATCGGTGATGAATTCAATGAGCGCGAGCTTGCGGTTCATTGTTGGCGAAACACTAACAATGGGAAATGCGCGAAAATTCGTGATCAAGCTAACCGCTGCGTTGTAATCGACATCCTCAAGTGTGTTTCTCATTAAAAAAATACAAAAAATTTCATTCTCTTAGCAGGTACCTGCGTACAATCGTCTAAACGAGGTTAAAAACTTTTTAACGATGGAAATGCTATTGCGAAGTTTCTGCAACGAGTAGTAGTGCATTCGAGTAGAGGTTTCGGCGGATTAAAAAAACCAGAAATTTCGGTGGAATACCACTCGAAGAAGAGTCCATTCACGGCAACAAGAGCGATCCTTTTCACTGCAAATTAATGTCATCCTCTTTCGAGTTTGCACGTTCATCACTGTTGTTCGAGTGCTTTTCTTTTCTTACTTTTTTGTTATTTTTTATTCAGTACCAAGAACCAGATCACTAAAAGCGAGCGCACCGGTTGAATATTTCCTCGAGATCGGCAATCTACAATTGTAAGCGCGTCAAAGAACACGATCTCCGGATTTATTTCGTGTCCCTTTTTTTTTTCCTTTTGTTCGACGGATTCGGAATTTCATCCGGCGTTACGCCCAGTTCTGTTTCGCAGTCGAGTCGCTACCACGCTTTTTTCTCCTCTGTCTCTCGCTCGCAGCGCAAAAGGGCTTTAACGTCGCGGGGATTTTCAAGGATTTAAAGTTGGGTGCGAAATTGAATTCCCGAAACGAAATTCGTTATGGTTTCGAGTTGCAGCTGAGTAAAATTAATTGTCGCTCGTGCCGCTGGAATCAGTGTTGCGCTTGATGCTGCACTGGATCATGCGCCGCGATCGAACCTGAGAAAATGAGAATTGATCGTCGTAGGCGCGCGAGACAAAGAGAGCCTCGTTATTTTCAATTCTGATACAGAAGTGCTTGCCGGTAGCAGTCTGTCGAAGAGCGCGTTTATTAAAGAGCGCAAGGCGCTATGTCATATATTTTTTAATTAAATTGAGCTCCGTGCAAAACGCACTTGAGCTCTCCTCTCACTTTGAAATTGCAGCTTCACGTGCAGGCTTTCACGAGTGAGTTTACTTCACGGACTGCCTGTTCTCTTTCCCTCCCCCATCCCTTACTCATGTCGAGCTCAAGCGCTTACACATAAAACGATTTCGCGAGATAGAGAGAGAGAGAGAGAGAGAGAGAGGTAGCGACTCTCCTTTTTTTCTCATTTGAGTTTGTTGCACAAGGATACTTCCTGCAATTGTCGCGCAAAGAGACCTACAAACACTGCTGAATTCCTAATAGGACTTTTGTATTAAAAGTAACTATCAAAAGCTTGTTATGTAAATTGCTTGCCGTTCCCTTCTTTCCTCTTCTCTCCCTTTTACTTGATCGAGTGATGATTTTCTTGGTAAAACGAAGAAGAATTACAACATGAAAAACGAGTTACAAGTAAGATTTAGAGTCGTTGAAAAGCCTTCGCTTTGAAAAAAAAAAAAGAGGAAATCGAGAGAGTATCGTCTGTGGAATGAACACCTCCTCGTAAAGATACTTGAGATAAACGTGGCGGTGAAACACAGTGGACCAGCGAGCGAGAGAGACAGAGAGAGCTTGCGCGGCAGCTGATGCGAAACACAGCAATTAATCGAGCCTCGCAAATTACCGAGCCATTGTTCTTGACGTTGCAATGGCCCCAGAGTTACAACTCTCGAAAAATTCAAATTAGCTCGACTCGCAGTGTGCATTATCGAGTTAACATCCGCCCTTCCTCGGGCAAAACCATCTCTTTCTCTACTTGCTCGAGACAATAAACTTACTTTTGTATGTTTCAGAACCTGAAGAACCAGATTATGACGACCAATCTCTGGGTGGAACAGGTGAGTTATTCCAATCTCGTATTATTATTGCCTCGATGTTTTAACGTTGCAGCTGACGTCTATAGCTTCATTTAATCACTTGCCCACTCGAGCTCTTGAAAAGTCTCCGAGGGACGAGTCTAATTAGCCTAACTATATTTTGTCTATACACTAATTTTGCCGCTGCCAGTTGCAGTTGTACGTTTAATTTGCTCGACAGATTACGATTAAAATCGCTGCCGCCATGCCTTCATCTGCGCTAATTGAAAATACACCTCTGCATAAGTAGCCGTACCGATGTGTAGACCACGCCAACGCACGTCCGAGAACGGTCGGAAAAATAAAAGTACAGCGCGTGTGTGCCGACGCATCCGCAAACAAGCGCAGTTACAGTCGGAAGTCCAAATTTACGTTTGTCGTGCGAAGCGCACTAATGAAAGTCAAACAAGCTACGGCCGCGAATAGCGGTAACCAAAAAACAGCGACGACGTCATCCATGGAAACGGCTAATGCTGGCTTGGCGTGACTCGATACATTTTTTCTTCGCCATTCTCTACGATTGCTGTCGGACCGACTTGATTTTTTCGGAGCCAAAAGTTTTGATCATTGGCTAAATTAATTGAAACTCGCTCGAGCCAGTTATTTTTTTCAGTAGCCGCGCTGTACAACCACGCGGGAGCTGCAGCGGCTGCGCGGGTTTTCAGTTTTCATAAACTCTCACGTAAAGGCCGACTCGTAAGTTTTGAGCGAAAGTTCGACGTTAAATTAAACGCGACCCAGCGACGTGGTAAACAGCTGCTTCGGAAGCTGCCACCAGTGCGCTATGGAACTTTAATATTTTTTCGCCGACGGATGAATTTTTCGAAAAATATAACGACCTCGAGGAAGTTTCTATTCGCGAAGATCAATTGGAAGAAAAAGCATTTCGAGAACTGGTTTTCGACGAAAAAAATAGACGCGAATCTCGTTACAGACACACAGTCGACTACGAATTTCTGCAGATACTGCAGTTTCACGGTCGAGAGGACAGACACGCCTGTGTCTCGTAGGACATACTCGAACACTATATATACACACACACATCCCTCGTAGCTGTTTCCTGTCCTCCATTGTTGAATTTCTCTTTCCATCTTCCTTGTTCGTTGGCAATCTCGCCTTTGGCGTGAGCGAGGGAGCGAGAGAAGCATAAAAGATTTTCGGGAGCACGTAAATTTTCCGCTCGAGGAAACGAGGCGTTACAACCCAGTATTCCTTTTCTGCCTCCCACGGCAAATGCAGTGCTATTCTCACTTGAATTTCCAACTGTTTGAAGAGCTCCCAGTTGTTGTTTCGGCGAGCGAGCGCTCGGCGCGTGGCTTTTTGATAGTTAACTCTTTTGACGCGCCCCCGCGTCTGGCGCACGACGCCTGATTTTGCTCGCGGGTCACGACTTGGCCGGATAATAGCTTTTTACGCTTTGATGCACGGGCGCCCTGTAATTCCAATCGTATTGTGCCGACATTTTTCATTTTCCGCCGCGTGCCATCGGTTCGACAATATTTTCGCGCGTGCGGCGTGTCGTTACGCGCAAAGTGCAATCACACGAGCCACACGCGCTTTTCCGCAGTCATGAGCATTGCCGGCGTGGCGTCCTGCACGGCTGAGACACGTGCATTTATAACGAGAAAGCGTCGCTGTCGGGTACGCGGCTAATGGGAGCCGAATCAAAAATTGTCAAGCCAAGATCGACGTACTTGTAATTGAAAATTCTCGCCGAAGCAGCGCGCAATCGTTCCGTCGATGACAAGCAGAAAGGCAGTGGAATCGGCGACGCCCGTATAAATGCCACGAACGTGCGCGGCAAATTATCAAGATATTATTAGCGAGCGCGTGGCTTCGGTAACGATCGAGGTCTGCTGGTCGAATCGAATCAAGCCGCAGTTAAGAGGGAGCGGAGCGGCCGACGAATGGCACGGCGGCCGCAGTGATAAAACCGAGCTTCGGGCAGACGTACGCGGACGCGGTCTTGACGAAAGAGGCGCGCGCACACGTGTAATATTTGGCTGCGTTGTGTGTTGCAGTCGTGGTACGACTACAAGCTGCGTTGGGAACCAAAGGAGTACGGCGGCGTACACATGCTGCACGTGCCATCGGACCACATCTGGCGGCCCGACATTGTCCTCTACAATAAGTAAGTTGAGCGTGCGAGCGCGCGCGAGACCGCAGTCCATCCGTTTGCTCCCTCCCCGACCAACCTCCATTCCTGCGTACGACAAAACCGCCTCCCCCTCCTCCTCTCCTCAGGCCAAGCAAGTAGCCCTTTCTCGATTGCCAGTGGTATATGCGACTTGCAAGTATATATATCGCGTACGTTTCGCGATGTGTATGTATGTATATCTGTTCCACATATCTATATAATGTAGTATGGATATATCGAGGTGAGGCGAGTGTCATATATACGTAGGGGCGCAGCATGCTGCCCGCGACACGGCCACGCAACCCGCTCACGCACACACTCACGCGCGCTCTCTCCTGCAGTTGTCGACGCTTAGGCCCGTCCCAGCCAACGAACACACGTGCACACTGTGACCACCTACGATGCACACACCTACGTGCGAGCGAGCGGGCGCGTGCGGGTGTGCGCGGATGTGTGCGGGCGTGTGTATTCTGCTAGCCTATTGGTGTGTTGAGCTTTTGCTCGGATTCTGTATTTCGTGTGTCGGGGCACCGTCAGACTCCACCGCCTTCCAGCCATGCGTGTGTCTGTCTCCCTCACTCGCCATCAACGCCACACACTCACACATCTGCAGCCGACAGTGCGCTCGGCAGTCGGGGGACACTCTTTACACGCCACACAATTCACGCGCAGATGATGCGAGGCGAGGGAGCCCCGCGCGCACACCAACGAAGCGCGCGCCGAGATTCGGATAGTGATTATTTGGCATTTATTATCGCATGAATGCGCGGGGCGCTGCGCCGAACATCCGTTTGCCACTCGACTTTCCGCTTATCGTCGACGCAGTCCCGACTCTGGCGTCGATCGCCGCACTTGTTTTCATCGCGTTGGACCAGGGAGTATGCAGCACGCAACTAGCAAAAGGGGAGGGACATTCATCGAGTGCTTTGCCGCGGAGGAGTTGGTCTTGCAGCCGCGGTGCAACCAAACTGCGTCGCTCTTTTGCCACATCCCGGGCGAGCGTGCGACGGCTTCGACAAAGCAATGGGCCAAATGGCGCTGGATCGCGACGATCGCGCGCGCGTCGACGAGGACGTCGGCACGCTCCTCGAACTGGGTCGTCGCATGGGCGTTCGGCATTTTAACCGGTGGTATGCGCGTCTCGCGTATTTCTACTCGGTATGCGATGCCACCGCTGCCTGACGGCGTGGAATCTCAGATTGTTTTTTGTCCTCCTCGTTGTCGACGCTGGTGTGTGCGCGCGACACACGAGGTCCCGAGCTACCCAGCCAGAATGTCGCGCATATTAGTGCCGCCACTCAACGGAGGACAGACTTGTTTCTTCGAATATAAAAGGCTGGAGTGGCTCCAGGCGAGTTCGCTCTGCGCCAGTGAGCTAACGCATTCGCACGCATCGCGGGCAAAGAGCGAGCTTCCTTTCGTGCATACGCAACAGCCTCGCTAAGAATGCGCGGCTGTGTGCTCGCACGTACAGCCATAAATTCTACTCGAAGCTTTATACGTGCGTTCCTCGCTTGCCTTTTTGCCGGCCGCATATGCCTTTTTCGAAAGGGACAAGCCACCGGGTTACTCTGCGGATCATTTCACAAGCGGATTGCCACGGATATAACGTATATGCGCGCGCGCGTGCGTGTGTACAGAGAGAAAGAGATGAGTCAACGAATTAATTATATGCATGTGGCGTTGCCCAGCAGTTAGACTGGTGACTGACCGTAAATTACTGAACAAACGGGTCAGCCAAGCCGCGCGTACGTACGAGTTCGCTTGACTGCTCTGCCTTCTTGACGTGTATAAGCTGTTGCTGCCGCAATGTACGCGCGCGCGCGCGCGCGCGCACATGTGTACCTGCCTGCGGGCGCGTTTCTAGTATACGCTGGCGCGATCGGCCGCGCCAAATTGTGAGCTCTACCGGACTTTAATGCGAGCGCTGTTTGCCTTGGGTCTTGTTCGCGCCAAGTGACGCGCGCGATCTCTTTACTTCTGGGGCTCGACGGATATTGGCTTGAAACCTGCTCGATCGTTGGACTCGCTCCTGAATCCCCAAATCTCGGAAAAAGGCCACGTAATCTACGGGTCGCGACGGACGCAATACTGCTCTCAAAGAGCATTCTGAAAATCCGAAACTCAGCGATGCGCGGCTGGCGCCGGTGAAAGCCCAAATCTCAAAGGAGCGCGGAGACTCGAAAGGATCAACAAGCGCGCGAGTCGGGCCGCGCACGCGAATTCCGAGCGAGTAATTTGGTAAGTAGGCCCGTGCGCTGGGAATAATCGCGGATCCTCCATGGACTGATCGCCCGATCCGATGCTGACTCCCCTGCCCCCCCCCCCCTCTCTCTCTCTCTCTCTCTCTCGCGTCTAATTGGAGCAGCACGCGAGCGTACCAACACAATCGCCCGTATCGCGCTCGTTACGCGCGCGGGGTTCCGCATCGACGTGCGCGCGCGCCTGCTAATGCTGGCGCATCCGTTAACGGACGCGACCGCGTGGAATATTCTCGCGTTTCTTCATCGCTCCACCGAGTCTTGCTTCGAGAACTCTCGAGAACACTCGAAACAAAGCCTCGCGCACTTTTCCGCGTTTTCATATTTTTCTTAAGCCTTTTCCTTTACCCCTCCTCGCCGCGGTAAAGGAGAAGACGTGCAGAGCTCGCATACGAAACTCTAATTTGTCTGAAAGTAGCTGGCTCCTCGTCCGTGAACATCGCGAGATAAATGGAAAGGAAGAGACGCGGAGAGATGTATCCGAAAAAAAGGGAGTCAACAAGTTATGCAAGGCTGCGAAAAGAGATTATCTGGAGCCTTTTATTCGCGATTGCGACGAGAGAAAATGCGCGGTTGACCGCGATTGAAGTATGTACAGCACGCGAGCGAACGACGAGACCGAGCTGAGAGAGCGAAAGAGTAATTACTTGTGAAAGGGGTCAGAAGCGACATTGCTTGCTTATCATTATATTTGAAATGCGTCTTGGCGTTTACCCCGAGAGACGTCGACGAGGACGGCGACCCTGTTTTCAAGCGCCGGGTAATCCGTCAAATATTTAGACGGCTCGAGCGCGCGCGGGCGGGCGCTCTCGATCTCGCGAGCCGGCCCCTCTTTAGGCGTACCCATGCTAATTTTGCGCGCTCTCGTTTCGGCTCGAGGTCCACCCTTCGTCCCTCTGCCGCACACGCATCGAGTCTCGCGCACGGAGCTCGCCGCGAGATCCGTCATTGAGGCCTAGACCCCACCGAACGGCAATCGCCCGCCCGTCGAGCATTTCTCCGCATTCTCGCGGAAACAAGACCGAATCCAATCTTTGCTCGCTCGCTCTGTGCTAATTATTACCGTCGATGCGAGAGACAGGGGCAAGCCGGAGAGTTCGCTCGAGCTACCACGGCATTATTAATAAAACGCGCTTGATTTCGAAAGGAAACCGCACGGCAGAGAAGGCTTTATTTGCAACGTCTTTACATCAAAGACGTGCTCTTTCTCAAAGACGGCGCGGCTGGTGACCTGGAAAGCTTAAAAATATACTTCGAAAAAAGGAAAGCTTTGTTCGAGTATGCACAAGCTTGTTATCTCGCCCGTTGGAATATTGCGTTACACCTTACGACTAAAAATAAGAGGGAAAATAAAGAAAAAAAGAGGCGAGCTTCGTTATCCTCGCGCGTGGCCACGTTCAAGACGCAGTGCGAGTGGAAAGGTAGTGGCATAGTTAACCTCTCGCCGAGTGCGCGCAAAGATGCAAGAGGAAGACGAAGAAGCAACGATCGAGAGAATCTCGCGGCTGTGTCAAACGGTGCAACAGCTTAAAGCCGAATTACAACGCGAACGACTCAACGTCCAACAACAGCGGCAGCAACAGAACCACCACCACCACCACCACCAGCGACGCGGATACGCTTATTGCGGAGGTACAACGCGGCTTTGCCCTTAACGAGCCTTGTTGCCTTATCTTTTATTTGCGCGCTCGCGCGAATCCCCTTTCTTCTTCGCGCTATTTATCCAGGCCTCGACGGCAGTTTTATTTAATGCGTTCTGCTCGTTAGCGACATTACTGAACTGATGCACTCGAGGGGACTGGATTAATTTTCGAGTGTCGGAACGTGCTAATTTAGTCGGATTATTATTGTGTTGGAGAGTCGAAGCAAGCGAAATTCTGAGCGAACACCTCGAGCTCGAGTAATTTCAGTCTGTGGAAGAATCGTTATTTGTTAAACGCAAACTATCGGGATCCAGTCGGCGATCGATACTCGCGAAGAATAACGGTCAAAGTCCCCCCAGCGAATATATCTTAATAAGCGTCGGCGATTCGTCTTTCTCGTTTGTCTTAATACGTTGCCGTCGCGGCGAAATAAAATACGCGAAAAATAGAACGGAAATAAGACACTCACGGTCCCGTGAAATTTGCTTTGGCTCTTTCACGTCGCTGCGGCAAAAAGAGCGCGGCTGCGAGCCATCGAGCGTGACGTCGGATATACAGACGACCACGTCGGCAGCGGAGTCGAGTCAGCCATCACATTCCCATCGCGAAGACGATGATTTGGAGTTGGAGGCGAGCGAACTTGCCAGCTTCTACAAGCGTAAGATCAGCGAGATCGAGGACGAATGCTGCGCCGGACTCGCTCGCATACGCGACAGCTTCAACGCGTCGGCCACGCGATTGTTCGACGACGCTGCCGATCGCAACGACGACGAGGGCATCGTCAAGTCCGTGCTTCCCATCTACTTGCTTCTCTGTCGTCGAGAGGTCAAAGTTATACGAATGCGCATTTGTTCATTCGTAGATCGCAGGGCACAGCCGACGAGCGTCTCGTAAGGTCGGAAGCCTACGAGGAGCTATCAAGCGAGGCTAATCTGGCTTTCTGAGAGCGCGCGATAACGGGCTCTCGCGCGCGCGTCGATTCGTCTTTTCATCGCTCCGCGCTTGTCTTCCGCGTTCGTTAACGAAATGGTTTGCGAACGCCTCTCTCGTTCCGGCAATCACTATCTGCATTATGGCCTTAACTAATAAACACGCTAACGAAAACAGCTTCCTACAAGTCAAATATCGATCGCGAGCGTATGACGCCACAAAGGCACGCTATCGGAGCAAACAATGACGCGTCGCCGCAAAGTGAATCGTCACCGCTGGAAAGCAAACGAAAGCGCCGGGCAATGCTGCAAGAATGGAAAGGATATAGCAACTTCGATTGTCTGTCGATGGCAAATCCACGTTGTACGGAAAAAGAAAACGCGCGCGTACAAATACACGTGATCCATAATCCGAACGGCGCTTTCACTCGCAGCCACACTGAGCACGAGGGACGGAGAAGATTAGACGCGATGGCCATTTTCTTTTTTACGTGTGGACTGCGGCTATCGAATCTCATCATTTCTTTCCTTATTTTCTCAAAAAAGCTGAGCATATACGTCAATTGCTTTCTTTCTCTCGCTCTCTTTCTCTCTATCTCAAAGATTGTGCCAAAAGTCAATAAGTACACGTTGGTTGAGGATTGACTTTAGCTCTCTTAGAAGCCCCGCTTGGAAAAGGCTTTAATCGCGCGGGCTTTTAACTGGCCAAACTCGCTTTACAACTCGATTTACGCGACGAACGAAAAAAAAGACATCGGCATCGAAAGTTTTCGCCCTACTACCTTGTTTTTTCAATGCTCGGTTCACGCTATTCGTTGGGTACTTCTAATCTAGATGGATTTGGTTTTTGAAGCCGAAAAGTAGTTGGTAATTATCATGAAAGCGAGGTATTAACACCGGCACTTTACTTTGTTTCCTCATTCTCTCTCTCTCTCTCTGTCTCTCTCGCTCGCTTGAAGCCAGCCATATGCAATACTCTCTTAATACGCAAATATTTCCAGAGGTAACTTTGCAAGGTGTAAAACTCGGTGAAAAGTATGCGAGATTATTTGTTTTAAGACGTCGTAAAGGATGTAAAACTATACAAATGAGTTCTTAGCGATTAAAAGTACAAGCTCTAGCGTGGCGTGAAAGCCAGTTTCTCGCGAAGAATTTTTTTTTAATGAAGCCTCGAGTGGATATTTCGCGCAGAATTCGCCGCGTGGCAGAAAATAAAGGAGAGAAAAGAAGCCTCCATTGCGTGTGCATACTAAACTAATCGATTGACGAGGCATGGGCTTGAAAGTGACATTGCGGTCCACACGCTTGCACAGCCGGGTGAGATCAGTTGGCGAGATAGAGTATCCCTCTGGGATACGATATCTTGCAGCTCGCAGATTATAAGCTCGTAATCGACGTCGATTTGATTTCGCACGACTGTATTTTCAAGAGTCGCTGTTTTTCTCCTTTTACTGATAAATATTTACGGGTTAGAGAGAGAGAGAGAGAGAGCGAGAGAGGGAGGGAGGGAGAGGGAGGTGGAATTTCTCGCAAGACTGCCTCGAGTTGCTGATATCGGCTGCGGAAGTGTCGCTTTTAATAAAGCCGGGGGACTGAGGAAAAAGTCAATTTCCTTTTGATTTGAGAGCTGCCTTTCGCCTTCCCCTTGCGCGGAAAGGCTTCGAGTTATCGGATTTCGCCGAGCTTGACGCGTCCCCGAGTCTTTCGATACCTCGCACGCGAGCAGCAGTCGCGCGAATCAATCGATCAATTGATTTTTCACCTCCGCCGGCGCGTTCGCGTTAATTTTTCAATTTTGCCCCGCGAGCACGCTGCTAAGGGCCTCTGCGTGACGATCTCTCTCGTTCGAGCGGAGAGCAAGCCTCATCTGATTAAAATGTTCAGCTCCGTGCGCGGATTGCAAATTGCAACTGTTTCCGAAACAATTATAGCGCAGCAGAGCAATTTTAACGGAGCAGCCGATAAAGCATTAACTGTATCGCGAACGATTTCACGAGTTTTTGCCTCTCCGTCGGAGTTCTTATATTGCTGATTATTCCCATCCATTAAGAATCTGACAATCAATCTTATTTTTCTAAGCATCGCATTAAAGCTCTCCGTAGTCTTTGCCCCCATCAAACAGAAAGCATCACGAAGAGAAACATTTTGCCCTCGAAAAATAACAGCCGCATCTCCGCCTCTCCAAAACCAAGTGCCTAATGTAATTCCATGCCTCGGAAGGAGAAAAAGCGGCCAACTCTCGCGACCAAAAAAAGTAAAGTAAAAAACGAAAGTACGCTCGTTCGAGCAAAAAATAAAGCCTCGCAACGTGACCGGATGATAAAAGTAACGCACAAATCAAATTTGAACAAAGGCTCATTAAATGGCCGTGCCAAGCGACTAATGAATTTCCAGATTGTATCCAGAAACACTGTTCCAAATTTCGAACAACTTCCTCACCTTGCAGACAGAGCTGTTGCTCCGAAGCCAACATTGCAGCTTCGCGAGCGACGAATCTTTAATTCTCTTTTAATGTGAGTGCCGTTTCATTTGTCACTATCGCATAACGTGGACGGCTTTTTAGACATCTAAACGTAGAAAATTGGCTCCACTCGGACGAGATAAATATCCAAGAGAGTCACAGAGAGAAGTGACAGACGACGTACAGCTTGCGTAGATAGCCACGGAATCCGTTAAATAAATTGCCAGTCGACGTCTTCTTTTGGGCGAAATGATTTATGACCTTCGTTTTCTTCGACCCCCGAAAGACGAGCGAAACTTATCAAATATCGTTATCGACTAGTCTGACGCGAGCGAATTACTTTTTCGAACAAGCTGGATAGCTTGTTCGAGAAAGTAATTCGCTCGCGTCAGGGATGATTCGCTTTGCCAACGTTTCAATTAACATTTCAATACAAAGCAGTCGCCGCCACGAGTCGGCAAGCAGAATCGAAAAAGCCAACGTTCGTTAGCGGCGCCAAGCCAATCGCTTTTCAATTTGACGCCGGAGCGCTAAAAGAAAAAAAGGGAAAAAACGAGCGATCCAGCCACTTGCCATCGACGAACGTGAATTAAGCGCGAATTATCCTGCGCAAGCTGCATGGGAATTGGACGTGGGTGCGACGCTGGCGAGCGGCAGAGTGCATTTGCGAGCGTGTCGTGCTGATGGCAACTTATAACTCGGCGGAACTTTTCGTATACGCGTCCTTATTCATGGTTCGACTCGGCATTTCGATCTCATGCCCAAACATATCGTTTTTGATGCAAATCCGTTATCGAGATATTAATTGCAGAAAAGAATTATACATTGATAATCAAAAGGCATTAAATTTGTAGTATAATTCGTTACATTAATTTCTTCAATGAGGGCTATTTAATCTTTCAGCGTTCGAATTCAATTAATTATGTAATGAATTTCCTATTATTCGCGATCAACTCATCAATGAAAGATTTTAATTGCGTTTGAAAAAAAAAAGAAACACAGTGCGTTGTTAATCGCGCATCCATTGACCGTGCCGGAGTCGTTAAAATCTACCGATATTGCGAAACGGTACGTAGTACATTGATACGTATAAGTGAAATGAAACAATAATTGACAAGCCAACAGCTTGGTCCTCGTATTTATAATCAACACGAAATTGGCAGGTAGTTTATAGCGAACGTAAGCATTTGGAAAAATTGTTCCTCACTCATACGCTTTAATGCGAATCGAATAACCCTAGACTCGAGGGGCGAACGACACGCGGCAACAATGCCATTATGTAAGGGCATCGAGTAGACGAGAAAATAAACGAGTATAATACAGTGTGGAGTGGCTTGGGCAAGCTTGCATTGCCTGTAGAAGCCGGGGCGAGCCGCCACAGACGCACGCATATACGTTGTCCGCGAGTACGTGTAGCTTTTGTCGGCTCGACGACGACGACGACGACGACGACGACGACGACAACGACAACGGTAGCGATCTTGTCGGGCTTCAATCGCCGCCTGCCGGCCTCTCTATCTCGAAGACGTGACACTTTAGCTTTCTTCGAGGCTCGTCCCGCGCTGGAAAACGGCGATGAAAACAAGTACGGCGATCGGCGGAGAGTGTCTACTATATGTCTGGTGAGACCGATGAGTCGTGGATACCGGCAGAAATCGCAGCACTTTGTCGCGCTCGTATCCGTCCGCGAGAAGTTTTGCCGCGCGCTCGCGAGCCGCGAGAAGGACAAGTAAACGACGGCGCGTCGAGAGGGAGAGAAGGGCTAAGGTTGTCGCGCGAGTGCGAACGCCGGCGCAGCGCCCTAGACCGACTAATGTGCTCGCTCGCAGCGCGGACGGAAACTTCGAGGTGACTCTAGCCACGAAGGCCACCATCTACCATCAGGGCTTGGTCGAGTGGAAGCCACCAGCGATATACAAGTCCTCCTGCGAAATCGACGTCGAGTACTTCCCGTTCGACGAGCAGACCTGTGTACTCAAGTTCGGTTCATGGACCTACGACGGCTTCAAGGTAACATCACGCGCACTTGCATGCCCCCCTAATACCGACAACTCGTCATGTATAAATAGTGCTCACTCTTGTGTATCTATTCCTCGTCATTCTATATCTTTGATCAGTGTCTCTCTCTCTCTCTCTGTGCCTGACTTGTGTAAATACGTTCAAACAACCTCTCTTTTTTTTTTTTTTTTTTTTTTCATTTTCTTCTACTTACTACTGGGCTGAATTTGTGTGTGTACCATAGCAAGTATTGACGACGACCAACCTGTTTTGCGTGACGAACTTGTGTGTTGTTTTGTCGTGAAGACACCTACGAGTAGTCCCAGCAACCTTCGATTCCTTCCTCTCAGCCCGCAAACAAGTGCTCCTCGAATGAACCCTATGTGCGTCCGCGAGTGTGTATTGTTGCGCATTATTTTTTTTTACTATCACCGTACAGTCCAGTGCGTACTTTTTATTCTTCTTATCCTGTCTTTACTTTCCAGCTGCGCGTACTACTACTACTACTACTACCACAACTACTACACACTACTACTACTTGGTGCAATATGTATATCATAGATTTGAAAAGAAATTTTGTATAAAAACGCGAAGCACGCGCAAAACAATGCACACTTTATTTATGACAAGAAAAAAAAAGAAAAAGAAAAGCTACCACCGCTATTTTCTCACTTTTTTTTCTCGTTTCTCTCTCACGGCTCGCGCTCGGCAGGCGACGCATTCCACTCTTGACACGCACACGCGGTGCCTTTGAAATGCGCATTTTTTTCAAATTCAACACCATCCCTGAACAAGTCGACGCGTCGCCTCCGTCACGCCTTCTTTCTTGCAAAGTGTATTAGATCTTTTTTCAGTGAAAGGCGGCCAGTTGGCCCTGCATTCCCATTTTTTACAGCCCTTACAACCCTTCTCTCTCTTTCCGACTGCAAAAGAAAGTCGCTACGCTGAATCCCAAGTCCTCGACTTTATTAGCTGTTAATCTAGACAATGTGTTACTGCCATGTTCCTTATACACTTTTTTTCACTAGACGTGTCTCTTGCATATTTGAATACATGCTATCTTGTATATTGTCGAGACCTAATGCACACAACACGATCCTTCACTCTATGCTACTTTGATTCGTTTTTTTTTTCTTACTTTACAGCATTTTTTTCTTTTTTGAGAAAAAGCAGCAACGCTGCTTTCGGGAAAAAATTATGTTAATCACGACTATACATTGACATAGGGGTATCTAATTTTTATAAACTCTTAAACTCTTGCAGGACATTGAAAACTTGACGTCATGTAAATACTACGAAGCCTGCATATTTCCAATACTTTTGCTCTTTTTCACTTATGGTCTGTAGTTTAAGTTTTTTTTTCACGAATTCCTAAGTACTGTATACCTATCCTTTTTTTTATCTTACGTAACGAGCTTTCTCCAATCTCTGGGATCGTTTTAAGCCACACGTAATTCTTTTCAAATCATTCGTCTCTCGTATATCTGTCCTTATATTTTCTTTCATTGTATGTCTTTCAAACTTACATCGCAGAAAGATATTAAAAGCTTTTAATGGGCTTGATAAGTTTAGGATCGTATACGATAGGTACCCCGCTAAAAAATTTGAAATTTTGAGTAACAAAAGAGAAAAGTCGCAAAGGGCGTCCGAGACGTTAGGTCAGGGAAGGGGATGTGACAAATAAAATGTAATCGAAAGAAAAGAAAGAAAAAAAAAGCCAAAAACTAGGCCGAGGAGACGCGCCGAGTAAAGTGAGAGAAAAAGAGAAAGAGAAAGGGAGAGAAAGAGAGATCGAGGTATCACCCTGGGCCTGTTTTTTCTGTTACGGTGTTCGCAGCGCCGACGGCAACTACGAGGTGACGCTGATGACCAAGGCCACCGTCTACTATTCGGGATTGGTCGTCTGGCAGCCGCCTGCAGTTTATAAGTCCTCCTGCTCCATCGACGTTGAGTTCTTTCCCTACGACGTACAGACCTGCGTTTTGAAGTTAGGCTCCTGGACCTATGACGGCTTCAAGGTGTCGATCAAATCACAGCCCGAGAGAGATGTTTTTTCAGTTGTCTTTGTTTCAATTCCAGTTCCAGTTTGTTATTGTTATTGTTTCTGTTGTGGATTGCAAAGCAAAGATATACATATGACTTTACTGAGACATTGTTATCTTGTTTCATATATATATATATATATATATATATATATATATATATATATATATATATCTATACATCTCGCTTCCTTTGTCTTTAAGTTACGTTAAAAATTTGAACATCTCTTTTGTTCCTTAATTCTCGTTCTTCTCGAGGCTACGTACCTGTGGTTTTGCAACAGCAATATTACATAGGCGTCTGTTTATCGTTGTGTATACTATATTTTTATATCAAATCTGTTATCATTTGTTGTGTTGTGTTTTGTCCTCGATATCGAGTATATATATATATATATTTTTTTTTTTTATCTGCCTATCCTAGACTATAAGGCGACATCTTCTTTGAAACGAAGATTATCTTTACTAGATATATATTATATTTTTCTATCTATTTACACTTTTTAATGTTTAACTAAAAATCTACATATTAATATGACTGTCAAACTCCTATTCTAAAAGAAATAGTCATTTATGTGTTAGTGGCGTTAATTTTTTCCATCAATTTTGATATAAATTGTATCAACTGATACGAAACTAATCATAAATTTTCCAATGTTAAACACTTCTTCTCATCTGGCATAATTAATGCATGCTTTATAATCAGCGTAATTGTTCCCAATATCGAGCAATCGGTTGTGACTCACAGGTAAATAGTCTTCGATCCTGTATCGATAATCGAACTAAGGAAACAATGTCTCGAGTATTGAATTAAAAATATATAATCGTACTTCCATTATCTCTCTCGCTGGTTTTGATATTAATATAGCAATTGATTTCGCTCGTTCGTTCGTTCGTTCGTTCGTGAGATGCGCTGTTGAACGTCTTATTATATTACATGCATACATGTATTTATATATCTATTATATATTCGTGTATTTTTGTTTAACTATTTTGTGATGACAATGTTTTTTCAAATATGCTGACGTTCATCGTTCGCGTATCGTTCTTTGTTTTTTCAACAATTTTCTTGTTTTTTCTTTGTTTTTTTTTTCTTTGCGACGAAGAATTGTTTTGATCGACTTTTTAAATAAACTGACTCAGCATTGAGTTGCAACAAAAAAGAATAAATCGAAAGCAGTCGAGGGAATGATATATTGTCCTAGTCCCTCGCGTCAATTAACGATTTCACGAACGCGCTCGAGACCTCCTCTCAATTAACTCGACATTTGGTGCATCGTGAAATATATACTTTTTTCGATGATACTGTAACACATGATAAATATGAGTCAGTATTTCTCGATTGACGAACCTGTTTTGTTTTGTTTTTTTTCTCGCCACTTTCTTTCCTTATAGACCCAGCAGTTTTTAAGATTATGCATATGTCACGTTATTTAGTTCGGATCTTTTGTTTTAAAGAAAGCAACTTTTACATTTTTATTATTCGAGTTGTTTTTGGAACGAGAACGTAGAGTATTATTGATATATTTTATTGCATCTGAGAACTAAAGAAAGTTCTCGTTTTATTCTTACCATTGTATTGTAGTTTATATATTTTTTACATGTAGCAACATGATTTCAATCATTAATATAATGATATTTGAAAAAACGGTATTACGACAGACAGCATAAATAGTATATTAATTCCGGAATAAATATTAAATAATTGCTTAAAATAACTTGAGAAAGATTCATTGAAAAAAATAAAATATAATATGATGCTGCTTAACGCTTGACGATTATATATTACATAGTCTTACACCTGCAGCTGCTTGAAAAAATTGTATGTGTGTATGTACATACATAGTATAGACGATTTGCCTTGATCATGCAAATATGATTTGTTTCATAGTAATATAAGATCGTTAAAGAAAATCATGTTCGTTTTATTAAAAATATATATATGATGAGGCATGCTAATAAAATAATTTCATTGATATTTTCTCTTGGTGTCTATAGACTAGCATCGATGAGAAAATTGAGTTTATGTAATTATTAGTGGTTCTTATTTTAAGTAAATAAACATGATCAACTAAAACAATCAACTAAAATATAAAAGAGATTGTATACTCGATATTTATCACCTTTGACATTTTCAGTTTTACAATTTGACAATTGCAAAAAGCTTCCAACGTTGCTCGAACGTAATGTGGTTTCGATAGTACCTATACAAACTGTTTTTCAACAACAATAGTACTATAATCATAAATCGAACTTACATTTCTTGAGTATACAATATCATTAAAACAAAGTAAAGCATACAATAAACTAAAATATACTAAAAATGAATAACTAAAAAGAATTTCTATAAAATGCAAAAGTTTTGTTGCTGAGAGTTTTTTGAATTTTTCCATGCACGCAGAAAACAACAGACACCATCGCTCACTGAAACCGAAATTAAGTTGAGTTTTCCATGGTAGATCAACGATCACCTATTCACATGTCACACTGAAAAAAAAACTCTTTTATTTGGTTGTCACTGTTTTTCTTAAATAGGCCAGGCGTTTTTGAAATATGAATGAATGAATGACGTAGGTACCCCCATGGAGTATGTAGAATAAAAAAAAAAAAAAACTCGCTAGTACAAAAGGCAACTGCGACGGTTGGGGTTCGCGAATTGAATGCATCGCGGGCAAGCAAAGCTTTTCGTATATAGATACTCTCGCAACGCGAAATCCATGCACAACAGTGACCACAAACGAAAATTAGCCATGTCGATAGTGAAACACACCGGGCAATAGTTCTCCTATTATACGTTCCGCAGGTAAGAGCAGAGGGCAGGAAGCTCTCAGCGTGATTGAACTGAATTTTCTCGTCTAAAAAATCTGAGGGAGATCCGAGGCGAGAAATTGGCCCCAACTATCTGATAGTAATGGAGGTTGATGGACCCCCAAGCGCGTCGTATAATGTTAATCAAACTTTCGGCGCGAA